CTCTGCCTCCCACACAAAGCTCATTTACTTTGATTTATGAATATTACAAGAATAAACCTGAGCGTCTTCTTGGGGATTCTGACACTGGTCCTCACAATATTGCTTCTTTCTCCTAGTTACCTGAAATTAGCAGAGTAATTCGGAATCTGCATCTTTATTTAAAAGAAAAAAACTAGATGCAGAATTATAAAAATTTAATATGCTCCCAGGAAAATGAAAAATGAGAGGTTGTGATCTTGTGTAACACTTTCAAATGTGTTTATTAATTCATGTTTTAAATCATAAGTTTCATTCGGTGAGAGCCATGCACAGCAATAAGCCCGTTTTAAAATATTAATGAATAAACAATATTTCTCTATTGAAATATAACATGGTTCTTTGAACAATGGACCACCAGTAATAAATCAAAACCAGGAGAAAATTGCATTTCATATTTAATACAAGTTGAACTCTGCCTTTTTATAAATGATATCTTTTTTGTTTAATTGGCGTCAGTTCAGATCTAGCAGATTGCTAATAAAATTCTGGATTTCCATATTTAATGATGCGTACATTTTCTGCTGAAATTTTTACCAGGGGAAAAAAAAAAGAATCAGCCTTTTATTGTCTCCTGAGACAGCACAGAGGTGAGGCATCAGCAAGGGTCCAGCCTGGAGGCCTGGGGACAGCGGGCTGAGACGGTGGGTTAAAAACGATGATCCTCAGTTGTTATTGACCTCTCCTAGTAACCCTGCCGTGCATTGGAAGGAGCCATTTCAGAAAAAAAGGGGCAGAACGCAGGCTCACCTTTCTGATGTGGATCACTGTGTAGTAACGAGCTGAGAACCCCCACCCCCAACCCCCATCCTACACACCAGGCTCTGGGCATGGCCAGCTCTCTCCCTCTTACTTCCCTAGGAAGTAGGTAGGAACAGGGTCCCCATTTGACAGACTAGGAAATCAAAGCCTCAGAGAGAGAAGGTGCCACGCTCGAGGTCACACACAGCTGTGGAATGGCAGAGCTCAGCCAGACTCAGGTGTCCTGGCCCTCTGCACCACGCTGCAAGATGCACCTGCTTAGGTTTTATCAACAGTGGAAAATGTGGGATTTCTGCTACTGTGACATCAACATGAGGTGGAATTTGAGTGCATGCTTCCTGCCCCAAGGCAAATCATAGACTTAATAGGTATCACAGATTCCAGATCCAGCCAGGTTATATGAAGAGCACGACCAACCTAGAAGGCAGATGCTTAACCTCTAAGGAAACTGATGCACAGGGAGGTTGTGTGACTTGTGAACATAGAAATGATATGGGACAGAGTTGTGAGACCAGGGCAGTGTCCTTTGGGAGCCCACAGTTCTGGGTGCTGGGCCTTGGGCCTCCTTAGTCTTGTAGTCGTGCAGCTGCGGACCTGAGTGGCAGTGAGTGTCTGGCTGGGAGAACAAGCTCCTGGCTCTGCACTTGGGCCGTATGGAAGCAGGTTCCCTACTGATCAGCCACATGTCATGTGTGGAGTTATTACTTCATGGAGGTGGAATCCAGGTTCACTAGGATCAAGTTGACCTGAGATTTCTGTGGACACAGCAGTCTCTCTGGCATCATGGGGTGCAAGAGAGGAATCCACACTCCTTCTGGGGTGTTGGGGGAACCTAGCTCCATCTCCACTTGGTTACCACCTTGGGCTCGCTAGTGGCAGACAGATATCCAGTAAGCCCATAGGCCCAGTGTGACAGAAGAGACACAGATGGACACAGGGTTTATAATGTGGGTTGCTGGGGCCAGGGACATTGCTCAATGGACAAAGCACTTGCCATGCAAGTATGTGAACCAGAGTTTAGATTCCACACAGAAGTCAGGCAGGCACCGTGGGTCCCCTGTAATCCCGGGGGATCTCAGAAGCAAGCTGTGTAGCTTGACCAAACTAGGCAGAATTGACAAGTGCTGACTTTGGAGAGAAGCCATGCCTCAATAAATGAAACAGAGAGTGATTAAGGAAGATACTTGACATCAACGCAGGCCTCTATATACACACACATGCATGGGTACGCACACATGCGCACCCACATAGAAAAGTAAATAAAAATATACAGGTTGGGTTCACACTCCCAAATGCATGTTCTGGCTCTGTGTATTTGATAAAGTGGTTTTGATACTTCACAGATCCCAGTGCCTTGGAGACCTGGGTGAGGTGCACCCCTTTTTGGAGCCTCAGATGTTTCCTCTGAAAGTGGGGTACAGTAGTAGCCCAAGTGTGCTGAGGTGTGCGTGATGTATGTGGGTAGGGTAGGCAGGTCTATACATGAAACTGGGGCCACAGAAAATCCATTCTGCCATTTTGCCTGCACATAACATCCCCATGTGAAAACATAATATCCCCAAAATAACCATTTTATTTTTATATTGATGCATAGCATATATGTGTGTGTTTATAAATATGTATGTATCTTACACAGCAGATAATCTTTTTGTTTTCCTTTTTTAAGATCTGTGTATGTCACATGTGTATGGATGCCAAAGGAGACCCGAAGAGGGTATCAGATCCCTTGAAGTGGGAGTTACAGTAGCTGACAGGAGGTGAGGGACAGGAGGCTGCTGGGCACCATCAAGATGACAGGGGCTGGGCAGAGCCTGGGACTCAGAGACCAGCTGCAGGACCTCTGCCATAAGCAAGCTTCCCTAGGGAACACAGCCCAGCACTACATTCTGTCACTGCCACAGCAGCCTTAGGAAAGTGCTGTTAGTCACTAGTCATGGTGCCTGGCCTGACCCAGCCTTAGGACACTGGCTCTTTCTATCCCTCATCCCTACCTTTGTGATCCCACAGACATGAATAGCACTGCACGACATGACACCACACACACACACACACACACACACACACACACCTCACACTCAAGCCACTGATACATGATAGGGAATCTAAGGGGGACAAGGAAAGATATTCCTGGTCACTTTGCCCCCGAAGGGACCTCATGGAGGAGATGCACTGGCCAGTGTCCACTGGGGCCTCTTGCTCCTGCTACCAGGGACTGCTGAGAAGGAATGATGCCGGACTTTCACGGACCCTCTACCCATGAGGACCTTGGTGAGGTGGAGGTCCCCTCTTTGAGCCTCAGGTCATCCATCTGGAAACAAGGCAACAGTAGAACCTGGCCCTAAGAACACCATGGTGGCAGGTGAACCGATTCCTGGGAAGGACCTGGCCTAGGTATGTGTGGCCAAATAAACAGAGTCCACATGTCCAGGAAGGCTCCTTCCCACACTCCAACTAAAGGGACAGGAGGTAGCTGGCTTTGGGCAAGGCATCTGGTATGATGTCCTGAAGGTCCCCTACCTTTGGGCACCTCCATGTGAAAGAGTGACACCCTGTTTGAAGTGAATAGCCGCTGGGTGCTTGGGCTCCAGGCATGGAAACACACATTCCCATGCCAGCATATGTCCTGCACCTCCCACAGATTGTGGCAGATGTTTGCTTTCAGAACCAGCAGGACAAAGCCTGGATTGCTGGCTCCTATAGGGTGGGCCTGCCTTCACTGTCCCCAGGCCTGGCCCTGACTCACTGTTTGAACTAGGAAAGACACTTGAATAAAAACCTACCAAAAATTCATTATCGAGTCCACACAGGAACCTTAGGGCCAGAGCCCCATGCACTCTCCAAATCCCTAAACTCTCCATATCCTAGTGGGCCTCAGATGCTAGTGGGAATGCCAGCACCCCTATCTCCCTATCTATGGGAGTGGGATGCTTTTATTCAGAGACAGGGAAAAGCAGAGGGAAACAGCACAGGGATCTTCTAAGACAGCATATTAGGATTACTCCTTGTATACCAGTGTGCCCAACACAACCTTAGACTCCTCCCATAGCCCTTCCAGGTGCTGGGAAATGCCTAGTATATCCCAGTCAGTGTTTCTTTCAACAAGTTGGCCCAGAACAAGTCAGGATGGACCTTAAGTCTCTGAGGATGCTAAAGAAGATGGATGTATATAGATGTGTGTGATGTTTCCATGGGATGTTTTGCAAAACCACACAGCCTAAGGACTGTTTTATGTACAAAGAAAGGCTGACCCATGAGCTAATTGAATCATGCAAATAACTGTTTAGCCATGGGAGAGAATTCCTATGGGCAGGCTGAACAGCCACGTGAGGGAGGACAGCTTTGGAGGGCAATCTATTTTATAAAGTTGATCCTCATAGAGTAACTGCTGCAAGATTAATGGGAACGGTGGCCCTGTCCTTGTTCTGCCCAGCTCTACCAACTGAAATAGTGAAGCAGATATATTTATCATAGACAATTTGCTGCAACTGATTAACATTAATCTGATTTCCTGTGAGTCAATTTCCTTGAGATATAGTAAACAGGTCAATTATCTGCAATGAACCTCTTTTATTATAAAGATTTGGATATTAGTGACAGGCACATATGCAGATCTATGGACTTTCTTACAATCTGAGTAATAGAAACACGTCCAGTCGGTTGGAAATGTCTAGCTGGTCTTACATGTCGCAAACTGAGTCTTAATAATCATGGAAGAAGCAGGTTGTAGGGCTTTGCTTTTTGACTGGTACATGATGCCTGCTCTTTCCAGACTTGCTGTCTTCAATTAGTTAAAGAAGTCACAGAGGTGGAGAAGTGAATAGGAGGGTCTTATTCAGAAAGGCTTGTCCTCTAACATGTTCCAGAGTTGCCATCAGGTACAGGTGCATGCCAGGGGCAGGAGGTCTGGGGTCCAGGTGGGCCCTGTGCTGTCCTAGGCCCGACCTTAGGGCAATTACTAACATCTGCTTTGGTCTCTGCGCCCATAAACACAAGGAAAGTGCCTTCCTTGCTGTTCTACTGAGGGCACAAGGATCAAGTGAGGGGCTGTGACGACAGTCCAGTGGGCGGCCTAGGGTCTCCCCAGGGACAGTGGTCTACAGCTTCCCCATCGGCTCCTCCACAGGCTGCACCTGCTGCCTGGTCTTCCAGCAAGCCTCCTCCATGTCCACACTGTCTCAAGGAGTGGAGTCACACATGCCACCAAGTTTAATCATGAAAGCAAAAAGTTTATTCATGTTTGAAACTACATAGAACTACCACAAGGAAGACTTTTTCAATCCGGGGTGTAATCCAGTTAGAAAGGAACACGAAACGTTTTTAATACGTTAGAATCACCGCCACAAATTATTTTGATGACTCAGTTTCAGAATCGCATACAATACAAAAAGAGAAAGGAGGGGCCCATCACACAGGGTAAAATATACAGTACTGAATACTGGAATCAGAATGCATCACAAGGGATCGCCGCTTTTTTTTTTTCTTTTTTTTCTTTTTTGCATGGATTAGTAACAAGATGAAGGACATTCGAAACGCTTCTGGGTATTTACAGCAGCTTAACTGATCCTGTGTTAGAGTTAGACCCAATGTTTTCACTCTAGGCTTCTTAAAGGTTGCAAATGCAACCCTGAGTTTCCTTTTAAAAGATTACAATGTACATTACATTTTGTGAAGGGAAACAAAGAGTTAATTACAAGATGCAAAAAGATAAGAAAGACAAACTACAGCGTGAGTATTGTTCAGAGGTAGTAAGTGAGCACTCTAAGCTACGGAACATGTTGAAATTCTATTGGTTTGTATGAGTTCGCATGAGGTAATAAGCTGTGTTCTGATTGGTGAGATGTATAAATACTCTTTTGCTACACTATATACAAGACTCCAGAGGGCCTTTTGCGGCTGCCCAGAGGACACAGCAAACCTTGACAAGTCTGCAACACTGGGTGCACATGGCCCAACCCCAGACAGGTCTTGTTTTCACCTCCGTCAGCAAGCGTCTCCATCTCTCAGAGCAATCTGGATCCGTGATCTCATTACCGAGCAGACTCTGGTACTGGTACTTTCACAGAGAGAAAAGAGGCCACTGTCTCTGACCCAATTATAACATAAGAGATCACAACACAAATGTGACGCGGGAGGTTCTTAAACACAACCGTCGATAAGAGAGAGCCAAAAGGCTCCTTTAGTCCAGCCCATCAGTGATGTGGGAAAGACGATCAAGGCCTGCATGGAGCTATGCAAGCGAGGTGAGCCCTCCTCCTCGATCCACGCCGGAGGTCTAGCAGATACTGTAGTTTTACCCTTAAGGCCAAGAAATTGGCAACTGTGAAACGGTTAATGTAAAAGACCAATAATAAATTATGATAAAATAGCTACAGGACCGTCAACAATGTTAAGTCTTGGCCTAATTGGATAAAGTGCTTTCTTTTAAACATTGTGTGTCTTAAGTATAAATACAAATGATTATGATTCCTTAAAAAACAGGTTTCTCAAGTTCTCTAATAAGAAGGTTTTACAGTAAAGCTGTAGATGGCGGGCTACAAAAACGCTCTCCTCCTCCTATTGCTCTGAATGCACTTATCAAGGCGTGTCAGCTCGGAGAGGCCTGTGGTGATCAGTTAGAGGTATCCGAGTGCACACTGCCCGGGCCTTCCGTAGGAGAAGTCACAGAAGATGGAGTTGTTGCGTCCTGCCAGCCTCCATTAGCCTGGAAGGAGAAGTGCAGTTCAGCGGGTGCGCGTCTACATGTTAATTCCCCTCCCCAACTTAGCACATGCAGACAACATGAGAGCAAAGGTACATTAGCAAAATGTATTTTCTAAACCACTTTGGCAGGAGTTGGAAGCATGTGTTAAAGTGGGATTAATGCATGTAAAACAAATCCATCCCATCAAGTAAAGACCGGGCAATAAATCAACCTGGTGCAGACGGCTTCAGCTATTCCCAAGCTGGCATAGAGCTTGGCCTCTGGTCCATGGGTAAAGATCGTGACTCAGAGGAAACCTTCAAGAAGGTGGGGAGGAGCTCCAGCAGGCAGACTCTGCAGCCAGCTCCACCACTGTTCCCATGGAGAAGCCACCCACCCTTCCTTACACATACCTGACAGCCCACTACTGTAACCCTTGGAAAATGAAGGCCAGAATTTCCCTCCAAATAGGATCTTCCAGAATGAAAATATATGAACTGTGGAGGAGCATACTATTCAAATCGGGATTCTAATTATCTCTAAGTGGAGCCCCTTGTTGGGATGTGGCTGCTACCCTGGCGCACGCTGCTGGCCCTTCTTGCCTCTGACCCACGCCAGCAATAACAGGACTCAGAAACAAATTTGCCTCATGTCTCTGCCTATAGCCACAATTGCTGAAATCAATGTCTGATCAGATTTCTGCTGTGGCAGACAGCTTGTCGCTACGTATTTTTATGTCAGTCAAGAAGAGGGAGGCGCTGGGCCTGTGAGTTGGGGAACACTGAGTAGAACTGACAGGGCAGGCCTTTCTGGAGGCAGTGCAAGGGTGAGATGCCTGACACCCAGTCCCTGCGGCTCAGCCAGCCTCAGCTTCTACGCCCGCTAGCCCCATGCCCCATACCAACATAGGCAAGGGCCAATTGGTCCTCTGTCTGCCTCCCATCTACCTACAACTTCTCCCAAGAGTCCATCAAAGGTCCTTTGGGTCTGGGCTACCAGGCTGCTCAGAAGTCAGTCTCAATTCCCACACAGTATGGACACAGCTTTCAGATGATCTGTGTGCGGCAACTGTTTCTTTTCCCATGATAGTTTTGCACATGCGTATATGTGTGGTGGTGGTAGTGGTGTTGTCAGTCAGTCTCTGTCTCTGTCTCTCTTTCTCTCGTGTGTGTGTGTGTGTGTGTGTGTGTGTGTTGTGGTACTGGTGGTGGTGGTGTTCCTGTGGGGCTGGGGCTAGAACCCAGGGCCTTGAGTATAGGAGGCAAGTTCTTTACCACTGAGCCACATTCCCAGGCCATGGTAATTCTTAGAGAACTCCTTGTCTTCAATTTGCTGCAGTTCTGCACATAAAGCCCCTTCCCTCCCTCTAGGACCAAGGGCGGGGCACTGGGGAGGAAGGTGGGTAGGCAACCCTACAGAGCTGATAAACCCAAAGGAAAGAGAATTTGAGGCTTGAGGAATATCAAATTCAGGTTGGAAAAAGGAAAATAAAATTAAATAGTAAGCCATGGCACTGTTTTTCAAAAGCCTTAGTCAGGTTAGGTGGTGACAAGCTCATGTGTATTCTGGCCTCTAAGAAGTCCCCTCTCTTGTCTAAAAGGTAAGCTGTTTCCCCTCAGGTACAAAAATCTCCTTAAGAAAAGAAAAACTCTTACAGAGATCCAAATCTAAAGATATTCTATCTGAGGCAAACATCATTCTTTTATCCAAATTTATAAACAACAAATGTACAATATTTCTACCCTGCGTGGCAGCTGGAGGAGAAGTTGTCAGCAAGCATTCTTTTTTTTCAAAGTAAATTAATCCTTACTCTGGTGGTTTGAGATTACGCACTGTATTATACAGCAGCGCCTTATCAAGACTCATCAGTGAAGATGGAATTCATGTCTGTAAAATGCTGCAGGCAATCAGGGTTTCATATTTTATCATGTTGATAAGGGTATCGCACATTCTCTGAAGCATTTCAAAACACTTAAATGAAAAAGGAGAAATGCAACTAAAAGGCTTTTTATATGGTTTGTTGTGAGTTATTATGAGTTATTTATAAACCCAAAAAGAAAGATTTGACATTTCAAATGTAAAAGATTTGAGTATTTAATGGTCCTTTTTTTCCTTTACAATTGAACATCCTCAATCACTTTTTAAGTCATTAATATTTACTCTCATAGCAAGCCAAGGCCTTAAAAGGGGAGGCTTTTGTCCATTTTAACTCATGTCAGCCACCCTGGGTCCCAGGGCAGAGCACTTCAGCCCCACCTCTGGAATTCTGTATCTCTACCACCAGCCAGTCCCTGCCCCCTTTCAAGTTTTATGTTTACCATTCCACATCCCTGTCAGGCAGGAAGCAAGGAAAAGTTTTGTGAATTGATAATGAAAAAGAAAATCGTTTCCTCCATCATTATAACCACAGAACATACTTTGCATCCCACACGGACAGCACAGCAAGCCGCCCTCTGAATGGAGTTCTTTGTTTAGTGTGGCTGCTGATCTGCTGGCCTCCAAGGCCATCACCTTCACCTGCTTTGTGCTGAAGACTTTTCCTGCTGCTTGATTCTAAGATAAATGACTTGTTTTCCACCATCTCCCCAGAACACAGCACAGCTGCCAGGAAATAGCATTGTAATGGGCTGATGCTGAAGTCCTCACTGAAGACAGGACACCAGCCACTTACAGACATCTGTGAGGACTTCAAAGGACAACTAGGTAACACCAAGTATCAAGGTTCATAAAATAAAAGTGCAGCAGAGCTGCTGCCATCCCCACGTGCTGACAAGATGTGAAGCTGAGTCCAGTGACTATTAACTTACTCATTAGTCACTGTTTACCTGCCACTGTTCCCACAGCCAGTCCCCAGGGCACTCACATTTAAATTGTGTGGACTGTACAGCGAGTTTCCTCCAAGGCCGTCACTGTAGCCTCCCGTCTGATTGATAACATGACGGAGGGTATCCACCTAGAAGTGAGACGAACCAGAATTCATCATCTCAGATCTATTAAAACATCATCACTTACAAAAGGGAACAATTTGAATTATGTGTGCCACAAGGGTTGAGCATCTTCAATGAAAGACAAATTTATCAATCAAATGTGACTGGCAGAATTTCAACGATTTCTTGCATATTTAAACTCACACACATCTTTGTTTTTCAACCAGCCAAACAATAGCATCTATAGTTACCTTCATGGTAATACAGCATCCCAATGTGTGTGGCTATGGGTGAAAGCCTACTTTCTCTCCCCACCCTCTCTCTCCCCCCCCCCTCCACACACACACACACACACACACACACACACACACACACACACACACACACACACCTCTGTCCCTACCACAAATGCATTAAACTGAAAGGACTTGTTCTCGATTAAGAGGACAAGAAAGGGGTTGAATCTAAAATGTACTTTAAGAATTCAGGTTTCTGTACCCTGACTTACAAAAATACAGGAAAAGAGATGGACATGGTGGTGCACACCTTTAATCCCAGTGCTTGGGAGATTCAGAGGCAGGTGAATATCTATGAATTTGAGGCCCTCCTGATCAGCATAGCAAGTTCTAGGTTAGCTAGGGCTACCAGGAGACCCTGTCTCAAAAAAATCCAAAAACCAAAACCAACCAACCAAATAAAAAACATCCTTAACTATAGGAAATGAAAGAGAACAGTATGTTCTCAAATGACACACATGCATACACACAGAGGCACATACAGGCATGCACACATACATACACAAAGGCACACACAATTTTTCTGTTCTATGTCTTAACAAAGATGCACCCCACCCATCTCCATGAGCTCAAGCCAGAGCCGAATGCATTCACAAAGTTCATCAGCTTTGAATCATCAAAGGCACTGTCCACTTGACTTCTCATTAAATTAAGAGGTGGGCAGATGGGTCCCATTTCGATGCACCCTGCACAGATTCTGCATGGATGTGCAGACCACTTCGTGGGTCAGAGTGGAGAGTTTTGAGCCCAAACCCTACCCTGCCAGAAAGGCCCCGCTGGGGCATTTCTCCTACCTGTGATTGCACATTGGCTCCGACTTGGGACCCTTGGTAAGAATCCCCATTCAGACTCTGCATGTTCATGAACATGTCCCCAGAATTTGGGAGGTTAAAAGAACCAGAAGAACCTGGAAAGGAGAGAGTTAAGTAGCTGAATAACAGAGAGCTACACACACACAGTCCCCAAAGACCTAGGGGCAGGGAGAGAAGACAGAGGGAGCGGCTGCACGCAGGTAAGGCATTTCCAGCTCTAGAAAGACAGAGTAACTGCAGGTAGGCCCCCCTCAGTCTACATGTAGGAAAAGGCTTCTGGAGGGGAGCCCAAATAAAGCACTAGACAGACAAACCAGAGTATAAGGAAAGCACCCTGGAGCTGGCCTGCACCTTCCCTCTGTTTCCATTTCTCCCCAGACTTAGTCATCAAATGAGCTCTTCAACGCCACTGTCATGGTGAGTAATTAGCTGGAGGAGACACGTTTTTCTGATGCTCTTTCTACGTTTCCATTCACCCATGTTTACGACCATTAGAAAGGATGGGGTATGTGATAAAAGAAACAACCCTTCCTCCAGAACCTTTAAATATGTATATAAAAGTCTCCTTAGAAAGGCTCCAAGCTCCTCAGGTCCATCCACTGGGCTGTACTTTTTATTCAGTTCAAATGCCCTGTAACTTAAAGATGTTTTTAATTCCATTACAAATGTCATGTAAAATTTTACCAGAATGTTTTGGTGATGAGTCAAAAGTAAGGCATTCATAGCCAGTTGTGATGGCATATGCCTGTAATCCCAGCTACCCAGAAGCTGAGGCAGAGGATATCATGAGTTTGAGTCCAGACTGGGCTACAGAGTGAGTTCACAGCCATCCTGGGCAACTTAAGACTACCTCAAAAAAAAGGGGGGGTGTATTTATGTGAGTTAGTGGCAGAGCACTTCTTAGTGTGCTCAGCCATCCTACTACCACCAACCCCACCCCCAAAACAAACAAAAAATCCAAAAAACTTTCATAAAACTGAGAATAATGTATTCATGAATTTGGTACCATATCCTCATATCTAAGTCCAGCAAGGCCAAGACAGGATGAAGGTGGAGGTAGAGCATGCTGCATGCATGGGAAGTACCCAGGACCTCAGCCCAGCACCCAGCTACACTATCCACAGCAACCAGCACATACCCTACCTAATAATTCAAGCTGACAGACCACTATTGACCATAGTGATACATGGGACAATACACTTAAACATCCTTTAGTGATATCACTTTGCCTAATTGCTGAATTAAAAGTCCCTGTTAAGTATACATGTTTCAGAATCTATCAGGAGCAAGTGGCATTCACTGTGAACAGTGGTTTACTGGCATGGGCCATGCACTCATTCACCCATCCCAAGAACAAGCCTGCAGCTGAACACAAATCTCCCCTCACAAATCCACTGTGTGCTCAGTGAGGTTTTGCTTCATGGTTAGTGGGGTGGGTCGTCGTGGCAAGTCTGCCTGGCCAAGGAGGGAGGCGAGCACCCCATACGCACCAGAGTTTGGCGTGGTGGGTGAGTTGGTCTGGTTGTTCTGCACAGCTGCGGCCACGGCATGTGCGGCTGTCACAGCTGTCTTTGCAGCATAGAGGTTGGCTTCCTCCTGAAACTTGCCAATATTCTTCTTGTACCTGATTCGTTTGTTGCCAAACCAGTTGGATACCTACGAAGTGCAGGAACGTGGAATTGAAAGGGTAGACATCACAAAGGAAAAGTCAAACTTGCAGTCGTTACTGTGGATATGAAGAGAGCCTCTCAGAGACACAGCTCCCTGCCTGTGGGTAGTGCACAATGGTTTTAGGGGTTCCTGTTCCCTTTTGGAAAATTCTTTTGTACTCTTTTGCACTCTTTAGGAAGAACAATGCTTCTTGAAGCCAGCCATGGGAACATTAAAATGGCTGGGAGCAGTGCTCATAAAAAATACCCAATTTCTGGTGCTGGAGAGATGCTCAGCAGTTAAGAGCACTGGGGGCTCCTGCAGAGGACCTGGGTTCAGTTCCCAGCATTCACATGGCAGATAATAACTGTTGTAACTTCAGTTCCAGGGACGCCAGTGCCCTCTTCTGGCCTCCGCATTTACATATAGGCAAAACACTCATACACATAAATACAAATAAAAATTTCAAAAATACCCAATTGCTACATATACACAGAATATAACAACCAGATCCCTGTAAGGAGTGGAAAAGCTAAAGGAAGCATTTTTTAAATTAAATAAGTAACACTTGAGAGAAAGAATAACGTCTTTTGTGAATCTGGAGCAGTTTTGGCAGCTGTGTAGTAGAATTATGTTTGGTCTGCTAAAGAGAGGAACATAATTAATAATAGATGAAAAATCCCTTTGTCTCCTGCCTTGGAAGACACTGCATTTTGCCAAGATGGCTGCTCAGGCTCTGTGAAGCCCCAACTTGAAAACTCAAGCAATCTCAATAAGGTCAAATGCAAATGCAGAGGCAGGTTCTGACTCCATCAGGTAGAATATACACCCAAGACTACTTGTGCTGCCTACCGGTGCAAACGGACAGAGTTCTAAAGATGGGGTTGGCAGCAGACTGATTTCATCACAGCTCATGGACAGCTAAACTATAGCCTGAGGCTCCGGAGCTCAATTATACCACGTGCTTAGGCACCTGTAGCTGAGCTATGTAAGGAAGCTAAAAGCCATGCAGCCATTTCTAAGCAGGTTTACCCACTTCTGAATCAAAGGATTTCACTTCTCTATTGTTGAAGTAACATTTAGAAATAATTCCCAGTAACTGCCTACTAATTTATCAGAGGACACATTGCTGTGGAATCAGGGCCATTGTTCTACCCTAGGTATTATTCCCTAACAGTTCCTCAGGGGCCCTGAGCAAAAATAAGGAATGGGATGTAGTTCAGAGCCCTCCAGCCCAATTTACACCAATGGGCAGCCCTGCTGGCTGCCTGTGCCAAGTCTTTAATTGCTTTGGAAATGGAACTCTCATTCTTCAACTGATGGCACTCACCCTTCTGGAGAAAGCCAGAAAGCCCTGGCAGGGGAGCCCTGAGAGGAGACAGCACTGGCCTTGCTGCTGCCCATATGCTGCCCTGGGATCACTGTACACACACACATGTGCACACATACATGCAGGCACATATGCAAGGACCCATGCCACAGCATAGGCTCAGACAGAAATAAGGAAAAACCCACCTGGAAGTAAAGATGCTACAGATCAGCACCACCCAGGTGTTGCTGTTAAGTCTCAAGAACTGCATAATGGGTGGAGGTGACTATTCAGGCCCCTCAGCTGTCCCAGTCCAGTGTTCAAGGTCTCCTCAATGTCTACCCTCCTGCCCAGAATTTGCTCTTCTCATAGCCCCTCCCACATTTTGTTCTACTTCCTGTTCTATACTTGCATCTTCCCTGCAGCTCAGGGGTGTGTGTGTGGGGGGTGTAATGTGTGTGTGCGTGTGTGTGTGTGTGTGTGTGTGTGTGTGTGTGCATGCACATGCTCCTTAAGATTCACCCTTGGCCCTCTTCCTTTCCATCACCCATACTCACAACCCTTAGTTATCCTCTCACCATGTGGATGACTCTCAGACTTCTGTCTCTCTTGCTAATTTCCACAAAGAATTTTAGATTCAATTTTTGGATTCCCACAGGACCTGCCACAACATCCAACACACCTATTTTAAGAGGGAGGTCAGGTGCCTCCAATTCTGGGCTTCTCTTTTCTCCTCTTTTCTGGGCACACTCTTACCCTCTGCACCTCCAGAGATGTGCTCTCCTCAGTCCTCGACTGCACTGCTGACAGACCTCCTGAGCAGACACTTCTTTATTCTGGACTAAAAACAACTGGTTCTCCTTACACTCTCACTGGGCTCTCTTCTCACATCTAGACAGTCACGAAATGAGCCTGTGGGATCTAACTCAGCTGCCGCTGGCCTTCCCTTGATCTTCCCGCAGACTTGGGGCAGGTATGCAGGGTGGCAGGGAGTTAGTGGAACGCTCAGGGAGGCCTGGCTGGCAGATTATTAGGGAAGCACACAGGCAGAATCTGGCCAGATGAGTTGGAGGTCAGGACAGGGTGGAAAGACAGACAGTACTGGTGTGGGGCCCAGGCCTTGAGCATGATGGAGACCGGCTCAGGAAGGATTTCTACTCAGGAAGAACCAGTCTCAGTGCACCTTACGAAAGGGATTTCCATGCTAGAATCACAGCATTCTAAAAACAGAAAAGTGGGGCTTGGATGTAGCTATTACTTAGTAGAGTGCTTGCCTAGCATGCATAAAACCCCGAGTGTCATCTCTAGCACCACATAAACCAGGCACAGTGGTGCACACCTGTCATGCAGGTCATTTCTGCACATAGGAGATGGAGGCAGGAGGAGCAGAAGTTCAAAGTCATCCTTGGCTACATTATCAAGTTCAAGGCCAGCCTTGGATACATGAGACCCTATTTCAATAACAAAACCCAACCAACCAAAACCCCAGAAGAGCTCTGAATCAAGCTAAAAACAGTGCCACCACCACCACCACCACCCCTGCCCTGAAGATACCAGTTCTGATTCTGCATGTTAAAACAAATTCTCTTGGACTCCACCTCTTCCACAGTGCAGGTCCTCAGCTCAGGAGGCAGACCTCCAGTTGGCATGCACAGAGCCACTTTCATCAGTATTAGCACTGTAGCTTTCTTGAGTTAGTCTTTTAGGCCTTCCAAAGAGTTAAATGTTGAATATATTGTCTATGGTGCAAAGGGAGACAGTCCTGGTTGAGGGGAAATTTGGCATTTCTTAAACATAATTAATGAAAATTCTCCAACTCTGAATTTAGTAACAAAGGCCCATCTTAGAATTCTCTTCTTCTGAACAATTCTCCATTGGATTCAATACTTTGTAGTTAATATTACCTTGACAATCAGAGAAGCTATAATACATTAATGAAACCTAGCCTGGAAAATCAGATTACAGCTTTATTAACAGTTTCATAATTGAGGAATCTCCATACCATCGAAGGTCTCATCTCTGGATATGTAAGAACCCTCTGTTTATGTACACCCCTGGACCAATCAAACAACAGTCATCACTAATAAAGGTTTATTTAATTCTCACAGTAAAATTTTAATATCACCAGCAGCCTGGGGAAGCCTTAGCAAGTGGATTTGCTTGACATCAGATCGTTTCTATTCTGCTAGTCCCAATACTTCTTAATCTTTAATATCGAGGCAATTAAAATTAATGGCCACTCATCTGAAGCTACTGTGGGCAGTGTTTCCTTGACATCAATTGTTTGATGGGATTACCTAGAGGTTAAACTAACAAGCAAGGTTTAATTGGAAGCAATGAAAGAAGCAGTGATCATGCGTTATGTTTAACCTGCATAACTACATCTAAATGAATATCTAGAAATGTTAAACTATTTCTCAAATTAAAATATGCACATCACACACTCTGATATCACAGATTTGGGCACTGCAGCAATCAGCCATTAGGTCCACACCATGCAACCGAGAGTGGTAGAATTAATGTATAAATGGACACCTACATTCAGGAACCATTTTAATCTATTAGAAATGGATACAATTATGTACAGAAGATCCAAGGTTACTCAGTGGGAAGTACTAGAAGTTACAGGGTACACAAGATCCCCTCTTACAGCAGTGCTCTGACAGAGCCAGGCTGTACAGCTCAGGGCACTGAGGAGAGCAGAGCCTGCTTCATCACAGGACTGGAGTGGTCTGTATGTTGGTCCTTGAAGAGACACAGGCAGAAAATTGGTGGAGAGAAAAGAAATACACTGTCCTGAGCTTCTTTTCTGAGCCACGCACCAAAGATTCACAGCCCTAAACTGTGCAGGAAGCAAAGGGCCAGGCAAGAGTTTTAAGATTGATTAAAAAGGGGAATAAAAACACAAGCACTCCCCCCTCCTGGTGACATCCATGCTTATCTGGCTGCAGACAGTGCCTCCGGAGGTCAAGGGAGTGAGGTAGGAGCACTGGGAAGGCCACTCAATTTCTGGAATCTTTCACTCAGGCCAAGTAGTGACCAGAAAAGCTTCTTTAGTCATAGTCATGCATGCCCCCCCATCTGAATCCTGTGGATCACCACTTTTAGAATCAAAGCTGATTCTGGACTGGGCACGTAGCTCAGTGGTACCATGTGCAAAGCCCTGGGTTCAACCCCAGCACCAAAACAAAACAACAGAAAAATCCTACAGTATAGGATAGAAATAATGATTATATTTGGAAAGCTGTTTCACCTTTTTAAATTTTTTTTGGAAATTTATTTTTATTTTATGTGTGCAAGTGTTATGCCTCCATGTATGTAAGTGCACCCGTGTTGTGCAATGCCCAAAGAGGACAGAGAGGGTGTCAGATTCCCCTGGAACTGGAGTTATGGATGTTAGCCACCATGTGGATGCTGGGAACTGAACCCAGGTCCTCTGCAAGAGCAGCTAGTGCTCTTAACCATCTTGAGCCATCTCTCCAGCCCTGTTTCCTGGGAATCCAATACCCTCTTCTGACCTCTGTGGGCATTACATGACATAGGTGTGATTATAAACATGCAGGCTATACACTTATCACATAAAACTAAAAAGTAATAAAAAATATTTTAAAAGAAGGCTTCCAGTCATCTTTAATTTCAACTTTCAACTCGGGTAGTCAAGTCAGACACAGGTGGTACCGAAGGCCAAATGCTTTGG